GGCGCTGAGCCCTGTCCTTACCAACACCCTTCGCAGTTGCGTTTGCAAGGTGCAAAACATTGTGCAGTGCAGCCTCCACCCCACTCAAACGGTCGGCCACGGACTTGTTCGCCATTGCGCAACCCTGACTTGAGTGGAAAAGGCGCTTTGCGTAATAGACATTTACAGGACGCTTAGACATGTTGAGCACCACAATGTTACAAGTGCTCTTGCTGCTGGTACTTAAAGTGATGCACACTGCGATACACCTGGCTCTGTGAACCCTCGTTTATGCAAAGCTGGCACATTGCAGGAAAATCTTTTTCCTCAAATCGGTGATCTGCAGCAATATGGAGACGGAGACTTGGCGCACCTGGCCAGTAACCTTGACAGAAGGGACAAACAAAAGGCCTAGCCAAGCCGTGGTCATAGTTCTTATGTCTGAAGGGCAAGTAGGCAAAGGAAACCCCAAAGCTAGCCAGGCCCGGAGCACGGCCGTGGCATCCACGTGCGCGCATTGGCATAGGACCGCGCAACAGACCGATTGCACACGGTGCACCGAGGCCTAGCCAAAGCGCCATCAGACATGTCACCAAGAAGGTTACGGCGCAGGTACTCGCCTATGCATTTTTAGCGATTTCAGAATGAGGCGTTTTGCATGGATGCGCGCGAAACCACAGCGAGAGCGCAATCTCACAGAAAATTATGGTTCAGGCTGGTGCGCGAAACAAAAGAGGCTGAAGTAAACTTTGGGCCTAACTGCGTTTTCGCACCGGTTTTTCGCTCATTTTTGAAGAGGCCGCAGAACAAAACTGTATTTTAGAGAGAGTTTGTTTAAAGTATTGACTTGTCTTAGGTCTTAGGTTAGACTTAGTGACTTAGTGGTTAAGGATTGGGTTTATGTTTGGTTGTACAAAGAGGCGAAAACGCTGCAAATACCAGTGTTTTGGGCATGGGCGCAATTTGAATGACGTTCTTATCCCCCCCTCCCCACCCCCTCCCCCACCCCACCCACCTCAATACCCTGAAACCTGCAAATGAAACCTTGGGAGATTTGCGTGGTTGTGAATGTGCAATGACACCATACATACATGAAACCAACAAAAGTTAAATGTATGTTTGTTGCATGTGTTGTGATGATTTCAATGTTGTCGTTGTTTTGTTTATATTTTATGCATTTGGCTAATGATCGGTTTGTTATGTATTATGAATCATAATTCTGAAATAACGCATAGGCGCGTACAGGCGCCGTCACCAAGAACATGCAGGCCTCGGCGACGAGCCTGCGCATTGTGAGCTCGGACGTGCTCAACGAAAACGTTCTGTCTGGTGGCAGAAAGGGTTTAAGCTCGAGTATGGGATCCTCTCTTATCAACCAAAATACCGGCGAGGGGGCCTAACTTAGGGCAAACTAAAGAGCAAGCACGTAAGAAGCCGAGTGCTGACCGAAAACACATGTTTCCCATCGGTCTTCGCAGTAGCATTATGGGCATCCATGCGCCTGTGTAAGACCCGCACCGCAGCGACAGAAGCAGCTTCACTCTTAGATAAGCGCTCAACTTTGCCCGATCGTTTGAAAGTCTGCACTGCCAAAGCATCTCGGGCAGTCGGGTACACTCCCAAATTGGTTGTCTTACCTCGCTGCGTAATGCGGGCGCTGAATGCTCCGGACTTGCGATAGACCACATGAAGGAACCTTCCAGCATCATTAAGGGGGAGTCCATCGGAGTCGTGTGCAGGTCGCTACACCCCGGCCAGGGCATTTTGTGTGGCCTTCCGCTTAAGACGGCACGCCCGATCAGCAGACTTAGCGATATCAACCCTCGCAGGCGCAGAGCTGTCATCACAAGCAGTATCCTCGCCAGTACCTTCAGCAGCCAACCCGCCGCTGAGATTCGAGTGGCGGCGCGGCGCGTAAACACCAAGTCTTTCGGACTCCTTGTTCCGCGCCGCAACAACAGCCGTCATGCACTTGTGCACCTCAAGCGCGAGAGCGTCATGCTCTTGAAGGGCGGAACGATCTGCAAAAGTGGGCACCGTCGTTACCTATCTTATCGGAAAGAGAGACGACACCCTTATCAACATCAGTCGCGGAGGCATGGCCCTTAACTTTGACAACCTGGAAGAAGCCCGGGGGTCGGCTACGTAGACTCGGTAGGAGGAGCAACCCAATGTCGGTGCCGGGACAATCAAGAAAGCCCTCGTGTGCAAAGTGATTGAAGTGATCAACCACATCCTGGCAGTCAGAGTGCGATAGGCTGTTTGCACCGGGCCCAGAATAGGGAAGGACAAATTACACGGGCTGTCGCAGGCAAAGCAAATGCCAGACCTGTCCGCGTAATGCGATTCAAGATGGTCAACAGCAGACCCATCCACCCAAACGGAGAGCCGTTCGCTCCCAGTAGACGGGAAGATGACCTCAGGGAAGGAAAAAATCTCAGCTCTCAGCGATGCCTCAGAAGCAGTCACGGAAGGAGGCAGCAAGAAAACGCCGCACAACTGGGTGCAAGGTTCCCACTCGCGCGCACAACCTCAACCTCAGGCACGGCAAAAGCAGAACGCGTTGTATGCCAAGCAGGGCACTCCCAGTACAAGTGAAAAAGCGTCTCAGGAAAATGCTTGCAAAAGGTGCACGTGCCATCAGCCACCTGCTTACAGGCACAGAAGGCGGCTGAGTCAGAACATGTCAGAACCCCCTGGCAGAGGACAGATCTAAGCACGCCCTTGTCATACTGAGAAGGGTAGCGGTTGGCAAAGCTGCAACCGGTAAGGAACAAACTGCACGCGCCTGAAATCAATGTGCCACGACAGACCCTGAAAGCCCGGGCGGCGAAGAGCGCGCAACAAAACGTTCATCCGCGCATAAAGGCAAATGCGCTCCCGAAAGAACTGCTTGCAGCAAGTAAGCAAAGGAAAAACCTCCGAATCGGATTGCAGCTTGAAAGCATGGGCCCACTGAAAGCCAAGCGTGTCACAGGCCCGCTGTACCTGAGCGGCCAAGCCGAACCGCCCACGGAAGGACGCACCGGCACGCGAAAGCCACACCTCGCCCCATTGTGTATGAGCATCAGGCATCAGGGCAGCGCAAAAGAAAGGAGCGCGCAAGGTACAACGTGTGGATAGCACACACCTGATGCGGGTCGAGACGGGCCCCATCGCAGCAGAGGGTATAGAAGACGTCCCTGCAAGCATTGGAGCGCCTCGCACCCAAAGATTCGGCGATGGAGTGACGCAGCTGGCTTTCTTGCTCAACGGGTGGCCCGCCGACCTCGAGGCCGTACTGCCATCGGGAGATGGCCGCAGAACTCAAACACACCGCACCTGCAGCGAAATTCAGAGGGGCATGCTTATAATGCGATTGGTCACGGCCACGGCAATGGCAGCATCAGCGCGCTCGCTACCCGCTACCGAGCTGACACGCAGCAACAGCACGAGAAGGCAAGCTTACACCCAGCAACGGGGCGTCGGGCACAGGAAGAACAGGCATCGTACCATGCGTAAAACCGGTACACTCGTTCTCAAGCGTGAAGTCAGTGCAAAGTAGCTTGGTCTTGTCCTGGTTAGACACCGACCCACTGAGGAGGTCAAACTCATCAGTGGGGGAGACAGCAGCCTTAAGAGCAACAGCCTGACCCGACCGTAAAGATCGGTCATCCACGAAACAGCCGGCACGCACTTGCGGAGCTTCAGCCCGTAACACTTTGCACCAAATGCTCATGAGGGCATTGACGGAAAGAATAGAAAGGGGACAGCCCTGTGGAGTGCCGTTGGTGGCATTAAGAGGGGTACTAGCTGGCCCCGAGCCTAAACCACCTAGCAGCATTACACGCCAAGTGCTTCTTGGGTTTAAGAACCTGATCCGGGCATCCAAAGGCGGATAAAAACCCGTACTCAACCACCCACGGAAGGTGGTCAAAAACTTACTCAAGTCCAAGAGAATGGCTGCAACATGCGAGCCGCCCGAGCAGGCATGCTCTTGTTCAACGGCGACTCGCAGATAAAGGTCAGAAGCGTTATGGCCGCGAAAACCACCGTGAAACTCTGACGGGCTCCACGCCTGTTGCCAAGACGTCAAGTCACGGGTGCGGACAGAAGCCCAAGCGCGATAAATTATGGAGGCAATTGCGACAGGCCTCATGTCATCGGGAGTTTTACTCTGGGGCTTCGGAATCAAAGCAACAAGTAAATGGAGGATCCGCTGCGGCCATTCTCCAGTAGACTCGACAACTTCCAAGAGTTGACAAAGGTGCGTCCAAGCCTGAGGGGGCCATGCACGCAGGGCATCCTTAGTCCAGGCGTCGAGGCCATGGGGCGGTGGCGCGACCACCACAAGCCAAACGCCGAAGGAGGTGCGGAGACAACGGTGGAAGCTCAACTGCATGATACGAGAAATGAGCCGAGTAACACCTGGCAAAACCCTCACAAGAGGGTGAATCGGCATCAGAGTGCTTGCAAAAAAATCTTTGACCACTTAGTGATGACCCGCTTGAGAAGCTCTTCAGGTGCCGCACACAAACCGTGCGGAGTGGAAATAGCCTCAGGGATGGCTTGCATCGCCTTGTGAGCGCGAATCCATTTGAACACATTACGTTTGTTGCTAACCCCAACTCTGCTGCATGCGGAGCTTCCAAGCAGCCAGGCGTTGCTGCCCCAGAAGTTGCTGTTCACAATGGATCTCATTGCGGACTTGAGCGGAAGCATCAGGTCTCGAAAAGCGAACCCAACACCAAGCTGAGAGAAGGAGCGCTGAATCGCGGCTCGGAGTGAGGGCTCAACCCAGCCCCGTTTGGCGTGACAGAGGGAAGCCCCCTGGATGCGACGTTGCAACCGGTACAATCTGGTCATTCTGACCGAAAATCCATTCTGGCCAATGCTTGGCGGAAACAGAAGACGTTTACGCACAACCGGGGCAAGGCCACGGTCACAAGAGGGAACTGAAGTCTGGTCGCCACCGCTGGCGTGCAAAAAACGATGACATGTGCAACATAAGAGATGCCAGGCAGAATCCACGTCGCGGCGCTCTAGGTGCGACTGCCAGCGTGTCCGAATGGGACGAAAGCAAGACTCCGCAAGTGTGTCAATTGCGCTGGCATCAAGACTGGCCAGACCACGTCGCCAAAACATGACTCTCCCCATAGCACTGCAGATACAACTATATCGGTGACATCCACAGAGACAGAGAGATTCTGGGAAAAAGAAAAGCTGGAGCATGCAAAACACTTGGTCAAAGTGCAGTAGCTGAAATCCATCCAAGAAGAAATACTGGAAGCATCATCTCTGGCAAAGTGAAAAAGGCAAGACTCATCAGCCACCTGGTTCAAGTAGTACGTGCCTTGAGCGACTCCCAAAGCTCCTTTTGCACTTGCGTCTGTGGGGCTCTCATCGGCTCCAGCATCCACTGAAGATTCTTGGATCGGGCCAACTCCTTGCACAGGCAGGTCCAGTGCGCACGGAAGCTGTCTGGAGCCAGGGGCGTCAAACTGACCTTGAACTTCCACGGGCGGCCTTCCTTCGGAGTGGCGTGTTCGGGACCCGGGAGCACAGTTGGCGAGGTAAAGCTCGAGGTCGTCTGCCTCCAGCTCGCTGAGTGCCTTCACTGCTTCTTTGCCAGGGCCGTCCACCAGTTGTGTGTTCAAGCGCTCTAGTACGGCACTGCAAGCGAACACCTTGCGGGAACCCCGCTCGTGTGGCTTCGGCTGCTGTCCTTGACGCCGTTGCTCTGGAGTCAAAGCGTTGTCGCATTGCTTCGTGTGGTAGGCATCGAGAAAACGCACCAGGTGGGTCTTGTCGTCCTCCGCCTTGACCAGCAAGCACAAGTTGGCCGAGCTGAGAAGCTCCTGGACACTGTTGCCTTGAAGGAGGTGTGAGCGAAGCAGCTTGGTGACCAACTCGGCGTCCTTAGAGGCGGCTTCGGGTCGAAGAACTGGCTGTCCTCGTTCGTCCCTCAGGCGCTTGTTGGACGGGTTGTTGTACGCAAGGGCGGCTGCAAGGTGTTGCGAGGCCATGCCACCGTAGACTCACCCAGAGGAGGAGTCCTATCCAAACTACTGCTCGCATGCTGAAGCCAACTCTGCAATGGTCGCATCAGCCGCGAAGCTGTGTGGTGTCCACATCATGCCATACCTTCAGGTCCGTGGGCAAGCCCTCCGCAATCCTGCGCTTTTTGCATTGCACTGAATGGCGTCCACGAGCTTTTGGGACCACAAGAGTGTGTCACAGTGAGGGCAGGCGTGATCAGGATTCTGGGCCTCACGACTCAAAAAGCGAATTCTGTGGATCCAATTGTCAAACGTCATTGCTGGGCAACATCTCATGTGCTTGGAGCATTTGGTGTTGTCCTCGAAGGTCTGCAGACACCAGAGGCACTTTTTAGGATCTGCAGGGTCTGCGCCACCACGTCGAGGAGCTGGCAAATCAGTTGTGGACATCGGCCGCGCTCGCTCTTGAAAAGCTTTGCCACGTTGATAAACTTTTTCTTGTTCAAGCCATCGCTGAGGCCAAACTTTTTCTGGAGGTCGCGAGAAGTCGGCCCCTCTGGGGCCTGTGCCGCGAGTGGAGCAGCAGCCGGCCTGCGACGAACTGGTTGAGGTGCACGTTCAGCGACCCGACGTTCACGTTGCTCACGCTGGACTGCCCTCGTTCGCCGAGCAGCCTCCGTAAGCTTAGCACATGCTGGGATATGCAAACGAAACGAGCGTAGATGCATTTGGACCCCACATTCAGGATGCGGACACAAGTACTTCCCAGTAGGCTGTAGTAGAGCGCCCGTGGAAAACCGAGCCCTTTCAGCAGCCGCAGCACGACGAGCAGCTGTAAGGCCCTCCGCAGAATGTTTGTTTTTCCATTCATAACCACTTTCCTTCTGCATCTTTGCTTGGTGCCACCGCTTCAACAGACCTCGCCAGACCGTACCATCCTGTTTCACGGCAAGGTTCGTCCAGGAGGAGGCCCACTGGTCTTTGGAGAGGTCAGAGAACGCCAACACCTGCTGGAGTACCCGCCAGTACGTGTGACGCAGGAGTGTTCCAGTCCTGAAACTCTTTAACTCCGACTCCGGCCACATGGCCGCCCAAAGAAACTGACGTTCCAAGCGCGATTCTGGCAGTCTAGCCAAGTGTCCGAGATACTGAAGCTGTCTATACTCAATCATGTGTCGCACCGGCAGCAGGCCACATTTTTTGCGTAAGTCAGCTAACGTCACCTGATCATCAGACATCGTCCTGCGATACTGAGAGCAGATTGCAAACGTGATGCGATTCAGCAGCTGTTGATAATCAGCGAGTTGACGACTGGAAAACGTGCGCCTCTGACAGCCAAACAAAAAACAGTTCACGACAGTAGCCTTGACCACCACGCCCTTGTCCTTCACAGTGAGGCCTAAGCGGCCTAGCTGGCGGGAAAGCTTACCCCACAACTTGCTGGCTGCCGCGAGGTGTTCCTTAGTGTCACGATCATGTTTCCCATCCCATTGAAGCCACACTCCAAGAAGACGCACTGCCTCATCGAAAGCACTGTTGGCCGGCGGCATGACGCCAGCTTTCAGACGATGAGTTTTGCCTGCATGAAGTGTCTCTACAAAGTCTCCCAAAGCCTTCGCCCGAAGCGCGCCTGACGCCTGTGGTGTCATCTGCAAACAGAACCGCAAGCAAGTGGAGGTATTCTGTGTTCGGACCTGTCTGTTGTAGGCAACGGCGTAAGTTGAACTGAGTGTGCCCGGTTTCGTCGAGAACAAGACTCCATCATCACCACGCTGCTATCGTAGGGCAAGAAAACGATTGATGGCAAAGTTGTGAGAAATGGAAAAGCATATGGGTGACGTGGGACAAACTTCTCGAAAACCAATCAAAAGAATGAAGGGGTCGCTGAGTTCACGGCCTTGGCGAATGCAGCCCTGATAGGACGCGCAGCATGGCATCCGGGACTCCTAGCCGGTGAAAGAGTCTCCATGCAAGATGTCTCTGTACTTTGGGATAAGCTTTGATGATGTCATAGCAGACCAACACCAACGGATCCCATGTACCATCGTCAGGCTTACGACATGAGTTAGCCATCTCCAACACAAGGGTGAGAACCAGCGAGGGGTCCGTGCAGCGCCCGTGAGCTCGAAATCCCCACTGAAATTCATGCATCCATCCAGTGCTCAGGATTGTATATAATCGATCTGCCGCGATGCGACCGAGGACGCGAATGAACGTGGATAACAGCATGATCACTCTATAATTGGATAGATCCTGTTTGCAGCCCTTTTGTTTGTACAGGTAGAAACCAATGCCAAGCCGTACAGCCGTACCGTGCTACCCCAGTCTTCTGAAGGCGCCTGCTACATGTGTCGAATGAGGGAATAAATGCAGTGTTGGGCCCTAGGGCCTGCCCAACGCAGCATGCCAGCCGTTACTTCGTCATGGCCAGCAGCGCAGTCTCGCACCTTACGGAGAGCTTGCCCGATTTAAGTATTCTGGGGGTGGCCCCAAGCCAGTGGGCCACCTCTCCCGGCGGAACCGAGTCAAGCATGGATTCAGCCACAGGTACAAGATTACTGCCAATGACTCTGCCATGTTTCCTCATGTCCGACAAATTTTGGGTCATTTTGCCTGCCAGGGAATGTCCACCAATATGGACACCAAGCTTCTTGAGAGACTGATAAAACTTGCCTAAGTCGTGGAAATGCATGTCCTCCTTGCAAATCGACTTGACAAAACGACCTCTGGCTTGAACACGGAAGCGCTGTATGCTGCGATTGAGAAGCTTGTGCTGCCGTTTGAGCTCTAGGACTCTAGGGTCTTCTGCTCATTTGTCGACTGTCGGATCTGCTCCCACACCGCACTGAGATCGGCCCTGAGTTGGTGCAATGTCTCCAGGTCCTCGTCACTGTACGGACTGCCGACAGCCATTGGGCGCGTACGGCCCGCGACTGCCTCAACACCTGAGACAAGCACTTCAGCAAGTCCTTCCCAATCAAGTGCCGGAGGCTCCGGCTCTGCTGTGTAGCCCTGTAAACCTCCCATTGAGGACGAGGTTGAGGACCGCCACCTTTGACCACACGCCGCCTGCGAGGAGGTTGTTTCGAGTGTGCATGCAATTCAGACGTCTTGGCCGGCTCATGGGCTTCAAAAAGGCAACTATTACCATGAGAGCCTAGTTTGGCAAGCGCATCTGCTCTGTCGTTGGCCCATACACCAGTGTGGCCTGGGACGTAGTCCCAGTGAATGTGAATTCCTTTGCGCTTCACGTGTTCCAACTGGATCTGAACCCACGCCACCAACTGAGTAGTGCTGCTTGCTTGCCACAGACATTGCACCATGTTGGCCGCATATTGGCTATCATAACGAATGCGAACATGTGTGTTAGGAGTGCCAAAACGTTGTAGCCATTTATCATTCATGAGCCTAGGGGTATTTCTCAGCAGGGGTACTTCTCAGCCACCAGCGAAGATTTAAGAAGATTGTTGAATTATTTGGAAGATTGTTGAAGAAAAACGAATTATTTGGAAGATTGTTGAAGAAAAATGAATTATTTAGAAGATTATTGAAGAAAAACAAATTATTTGGAAGATTGTGGGTTTCAATTTGAAGCTTAAACACGGTTTAGGGAAGTTTAGGGCTCATGGTTTAAGCTTCCTGGCACGGCTCGAGGACCTGCCAAAATGGAACACCGAGGTTTATTATTCGAAATTCTTCGTTGTATCTGCGGAGAACTTCAAACACTTTTCTAGACTTGTGCTTGTTTCCCCCAGCTGAAACCGCCAGATGTGCTCAGTGTAGCTGCCAAAACTGGCGGGCATGCAGCTGCCGCTTGGTAGAGCAACATACACCAAACCCCATTCTGAACATGTTGGCACTCTGCCTTCGACAAAGACAACCCAACAGCAAGGTTCTCTGTGATAACAGGCATGAATGAGACGGAGGAACACACCAGCTCAACAACACAGCCATGTCCCAAGAACGGCCTCCCTTCTTTGTCCGGTATTGCTTCCGGTGACTTGCATGACTGCTTCGATGTCACCAGGTCAGGCCCCAGCCGGCGCATTAGCCCATGTGCCCGGCTGTCATCTATCCCCTGCCCCTGGGATAGGTTGGCCTCAAGGCTGTGACACAGGCAAACCGAACGCCTCACACCTGGCCAATGGTGTGGGGAGCAACCCCGATGGGGCAGGGGTTTACTCCTTAGGTAAGGCAACCCCGAGGAGGTTCGACTGACACTCTAATTACTGTACTACTGCTCGATATTTGGCCTCCCATGTTGCTGAGGTGGACACTCAAATTATTTGGAAGATTGTGGGTTTCAATTTGAAGCTTAAACACGGTTTAGGGAAGTTTAGGGCTCATGGTTTAAGCTTCCTGGCACGGCTCGAGGACCTGCCAAAATGGAACACCGAGGTTTATTATTCGAAATTCTTCGTTGTATCTGCGGAGAACTTCAAACACTTTTCTAGACTTGTGCTTGTTTCCCCCAGCTGAAACCGCCAGATGTGCTCAGTGTAGCTGCCAAAACTGGCGGGCATGCAGCTGCCGCTTGGTAGAGCAACATACACCAAACCCCATTCTGAACATGTTGGCACTCTGCCTTCGACAAAGACAACCCAACAGCAAGGTTCTCTGTGATAACAGGCATGAATGAGACGGAGGAACACACCAGCTCAACAACACAGCCATGTCCCAAGAACGGCCTCCCTTCTTTGTCCGGTATTGCTTCCGGTGACTTGCATGACTGCTTCGATGTCACCAGGTCAGGCCCCAGCCGGCGCATTAGCCCATGTGCCCGGCTGTCATCTATCCCCTGCCCCTGGGATAGGTTGGCCTCAAGGCTGTGACACAGGCAAACCGAACGCCTCACACCTGGCCAATGGTGTGGGGAGCAACCCCGATGGGGCAGGGGTTTACTCCTTAGGTAAGGCAACCCCGAGGAGGTTCGACTGACACTCTAATTACTGTACTACTGCTCGATATTTGGCCTCCCATGTTGCTGAGGTGGACACTCGGGTGCCGAGCTCGGACCCAGCCAGCACGTTAGCCCATGTGGCTGGCTGTCATCACCAGGTGTCCGCTCTGGTGGTTGGCCCCAAGTCCTCGTCGGTTCCGTCTTCCGCGGTCCCCCAAAGCGACCCCATGCCCGGCCATCGGCATGCAAGCGCGGCTGGTGAATCAAAACTGGACACACCGCGACTTGTTGGTAAGGTTGGTGTGACATAAGATGCCATGCAGGGCCACGCGGGCAACTTCCAGCGATGGGCAAAGTGCTTCAAGACTTTGCCCGCGGGCGCGGGTACGTGGCATAGTATTTAGTAGTCGGGCCTTCCCTGCAATCTGCGCTGAATCACCTGCCGTGGGCACACCACTTTGCTAGGCGAGCACAGACAGAATAAATCCCCAGCGCCGGCCAACGACACTGTCCCGCACGGTCAAGGACCCATAACTCGGGTCCGAGCCCGACTGGAGCGCGGTCTGTAAGACCACGGAGCTGGGGCATGCAGGATGGGTAGGGCGAGTCGAAAGCAAGCAGCAAGCCAACCAAGACATGGCACGTGACAAGGGACCAAGTACATGACATTCTTCGAGAGAACACTTTACCCGGAATGCAAAACCTCAACTCATTGCTAGTGTGCCGTCCAAGCAAACGCTTTCGAGAGAGCCATGGGCAGTGTCATTCTGTCGTCGATCCAAGAGAACAGAAAGCATGTGCTCAGCAGAAAGAGATATAACCTAATCATGGGTTAGCGGCCTCCCCCATTTGCTCTTTTCCTCCCGCCCGTTCGGTTAGTTGGAATGCCGCTTCGGCTGAGGAGTGAGGCAGGCATCATGGCTATGCTGATTTCAGACTGCTGATTTCAGACTGCTGATTTCAGACCCGAAGCCGCTTCCAATGGCTATGCTGATTTCAGACTGCTGATTTCAGACTGCTGATTTCAGACGAAGCTGATTTCAGACTGCTGATTTCAGACTGCTGATTTCAGACAGGTTCAGCAGCGACTACAGCACGAACTCATCGAAGGCATAGTCTGCGAAGCCTAGTAGTTTTTCTTTGGCGGAAGTGCAGCTATTATCGGAGCCAGGCCCCGAAGAACATCAGCGTCCACCACACCAGGGTGTTGTTCTTCGATGCCTTCATCAAGCGGGAAGTCATCCCTTGCAAGATCCCATTTGGTCCACATATGGCAGTGTACCTGCCTGAGAGGATCCTGCCAATTTTGCTTGGTGAACGTCTTCGAGAAGCTTTTCTTTCCAAACTCTTCCACCCAATATTTGTGTGTCGCCTTGAACTCGACGTTCCATCTGTAATCGTTGACCCTGAGAGTCATGCGAGCTTGCGGAGCACATAATTGGTCAAGAAGTTCCATTGGAGAGCTGTGAATTCTCGGTGCACCCCGACGACTGGAAGCAGGTACCACAGAATCCTCCTCAGCTGAATAGTGTTAGGGGCGAGGTCTGAGGGAGCCAGGGAGTTTCAATTCACAAAACAGACAACTCAAGTTGATATGCAGCTCAACATAGAGCAAAGAAAATTTAGTCCCAAGGGCTGCATCGGATGGGG